TGGACTTCAACTCCCAGAATTCCCCAGCCAGCATGCTGGCTGGGGAATTCTGGGAGTTGAAGTCCACACATCTTAAAGTTGCTAAGGTTGAGAAACACTGAGTTAGAGGGTTATACAATGGAAGGCAGGGTTTTCACACATACCCTTTTGCTGTCTCGTTCCCCATTAAGTACAGGAATATAATACTGCACCCCTAAGAATTTCACTGAAAGGATTTCTAAAAGGTTCTCTTTTATCCAATTGGATAAGAAGTGGCAGACATTTTGACCTTCAAATGGCCATTTTGAGCATTTAGCGCTGGAAACAAAACACATGTTTTGAAGCTTGGCTGTTTTGAGCAGTGTCATTCTAAATGTTAAAAGTCATTGAAAACAATCTCAGAATGGGCCAGCCCAACATCAAAACAAGTCATTTTTAGGTGATCTGAAGAGTTTGTCCTGAGACCTGAACAATATGCTCAGGTCATTTTTAGTTTTGTTCCAATGCAACACAGTCATCTTGATGGGACATTTTAAGTGGAGCTGTTTTGTGTTGACCTTGAAGGAAGACACATTTCCTGCTTTTGCCTGCTTATTAGCTTCTTGGTGCTAGCTGTGGCTCCGCCACTCAGCTGTTGACAATTTTCAGAGAATGCGATGGCAGAGGCAGCAGATCCAGCATGTTCTTGGTGGCAGCAATGGTAGCGAGGACTAGACTGTGACTGGATTTCTGGGCTGTGTAAACAGCTGGATGAGGCTTTATCTAGCCTTTTGGTGGCTGTTGATCTCTGGATTTGGCATAGGATAGCAGCAGCACTGTACTGTTTACATTGCCCAAATCTAGTTAGGCCTGGAGGGGGCTTCTCACATCAGAGAGATGCCCAGCTGTTTTATGTGTAGCATCAGCTGCAAACCCAGGGTTAGGGAGAAGGTGTGGCAATTGTTATCCAAGAATCCCTAGTGACTTTCAGGGTCTTTGCTCTGCAGATTGCTGGGTGTGAGGCTTTGGGCTGTAGGAATCAGAAGGGATTATTGCTTGTGTACCAGCCTTTCTGAAGCACAGCAACCTCCCTATCAGAGCTACTAGATTCTGTGGCCCAGTTGGCAGTAGAGTTCCCCAGGCCTATGGTTCTGAGGAACTTAAATCTGTCACCCTTGACTAGGGACCCAAAGGCAGCTTGGCAACCATGGAACTGACCCAACTCATCTCTGGCCCAACTCACAGCGAAGGCCACACATTAGACCTGGTTTTTATCTTGAGGCAGTGGCCATGTGATCTGGAGATGAAGGATGTTACCTTCAGTACCTTGCCATGGATGGATCATTCCCTGGTAGATCTGGAGTTCTCTTACAGGGAGTCAGGACCTGTTCAAATGTTCCTCTCCAAGCACCTGACCAGGAGGAGCTTGGATTGTGCTGTTTGGAATGAGAAGGCATCTTTTGCCTTGGATTGGATTGTGCCTATGCAGCCTTTCTACGTTCCTACATCCTGGAGGGTCCCCTGGTTTTTGGAGGAGCTGCGGGTGATGAAATGGCATAAGAGACACCTAGAATGCCACTGGGTAAGAGACTTTCTTAAGGATTATCCTGTGATGATAAGGGTGGTGAAACAGAGTTATTTCTTTGCCCTTATTGTATCTGCAGAAAGCTGGCTGGTGGCCCTATTTAGAGTAACCCCAGTCTCTCCTGCATAAGGAGGGGCCATGGGAACTCTTTCAGGGCCTCTGTGATGACTATTCAGGGCACCTGTCAGATAAAGTCACAGCTGGACCTGAGTTGCAATCTGGGCAGGATTGGGTGTGCCTTACAATGGGTCACTGGATACATTCCATATGTTCAAACTATGTGTAAAAAAAGAAAATCTCCAAGAATATCTCATGTGCCACAGGTGGTTGGATAAGATCATGGAAATAAGAAAGAACAACATGACCAATATCTATAAATGTTAAACTATTTCTTCTCCGTGCAATAACAAATATTTTTTCTATTAAATTATTTCTCTTTCTTCTGCTCCAATCCTTGCTGTTTTCCCTTTCAGATTATTCACAATGTTTTTTTAAACATATGTAAGAATGGTACTGAAACTGCAGCTGCTACCGTTCCTGAACTCACACTGAAGTCCTCTGTTCCTCTCATTAAGTTTGATAGGCCTCTTTTCATGCTAATCAGAAATGCAAGGAGTTTGTTCATGGGAAAAGATGCAAACACTGTGAATAATTAACAGTGCAGCCAGGACACTTAATGCAATACTCTTACAACAAGTTTCAGCTTAAAGTAAAACATGTAAAACCTTATGCTTAAGCATCAATTGTTGTACTAAGTTTCTCATTAGCTAGATTAATAATGTAAAGAATGATACAGGTTCTGATCATGTTTCTACCATAATTCAAATAGAATTTGCCCCAGAATCATATGTGAAGTCTCCGGAATATTTAATTAATAGTCATTATATGATAATGTCAAGAGAAGAGATGATTTTTGTGTGAAACCATTATCATCATTAAACCTCTTGCAGATCTGCTGGCTCTACTTCAGACACACCGGGCATTACATGTAGGTACTGTGTATCCAGTGTTTATTTGCAAATAAAGTTATGATCCCAGACAGTGAAAAGGCAGAAAAATATGGATCAACTCTAATTCAACATTCCAAATAATTCAAATTTAACCCAGTGTGAGTAGTATTATCTCTACATCAGCCATTTCTCCTTTGCAAGGCTCCTGAAACTTGGAGATGTTGCTGAGAAACTTCTTTAAAAAAAAAAAAGATAAATACAAGGAAACATGATAGAGTTGCATAAAAGCATGCATTGTGTAAAGAAAAGGATTAGGGCCAGGTTTTAGTATTCCTTAGCATTTGTTATCCATGTCATTCAAAGAAATTGAATGCTGGGAAATTCAGGTATCTACTTATTTATTTATTTAGGTTATAGAAATGAAAGGACCTCTTCACAGAAGATAAATTGTGGCATTAATTACAAGAAGTTATAGCAACTGGCCACCACACTGGATAGCTTTAAAATAAAATTGGACAAATTCAAGGAGAATAAGTCTATCAACAATCACTAGGCAATTACTGCTAGTCAAGATAGGTATATATCACCTCAAAAATTGCAAGCTTCATGCTTCTCAGTACCAGTTACAGGGAAATATATGAGAGTGGATGTTATTTCTCTTTGATCTTAAGAGAATCTGAAGCCCAGAAAGCTGCCAAGTTTGAGAAACACTGATATACACTATAATAGCAGAATCTTGAAAGCCTGATAAAATGTCCCCTTTCCTCCCTCTTATACCAAGAGAATCCATTCTTGCTACATCCCTACCAGCTCTCTGGTTTGTAAGAACCATCCTTCATTCCAGGCAATTCGTACTGTTTGAACTTTATCTAGCTAATACTATCTTTCAATCAGAAGTGAGCAATCATTTTGTACTGAGAAGCACATTTGATTTTAAAAATGGCCTCAGTCGTTTGCAAGGGTAGGTCCTGGTAACATGCAAAATCACTAGGGACAGTAAGAATATTGGAGAGGTTGAACAAACTGAAAAGGGAAATCTATGTGTTAAGCCCACTTGTCACATCATTTCCCCCTTTTGTTTCTCCTCTAAAAAGCAAAACAAAAACCAAAGCCATCAGGAATATTGGCAGAGTAATATTAGGATACTCTAGGGCAGTGTTTCTCAACCTCAGCAACTTTAAATTGTGTGGGCTTCAACTCCCAGAATGGCTGGAAGTCCACACATCTTAAGTTGTCAAGGTTGAGAAATAGCGCTCTAGGGGGTGCATACTGGGGATTCAGAGGCCATGGATTCATTTTATTTTTTATTTTAATGCACCTTTATAGTTGCTTCAATTGCAGACAATGGTAAGTGGTTTATATTCAGGTATTTACTTCTGGGTGGGCAGATTCTGCCTGGAACAGATGGTCCCAAAGATATGCAGGCCCAAGACATATAATACTCTGTAGGTAATAGCCAGCACCTTACTTGCACTCAGAAACAAACAGGCAACCACAGCTGCTCCCGTAGTAGTGGTGTCACATGGCAGCAACATATCTGACCTGTAAACATACATGCAGTCACATATTGTACTAGCAGCAGGTTTCTAAGTGGCCTTTAAGTGCACCCCCATTTAGAGAGAATTACAATAATCTAGTTGAGAGGTGATAAGAGTGTAAATGGCTGTCCTCACATTTATTCCTGCTCTAACTCTACCATTAAATTGCTTTAGAAACTCTTGGGAAGCATAGGTTTTCTCTGTTCTCCAAGCATGTCCATTATTTGCCATTAGGAGCTAAGGCTGCAGCCCTGGATCGGCTTTTATCAAGAACTGCCTTTAATCAGATGGAAATTAGTAAGCAGGAAATGCACAACTTTGCCTCCAGATACTTCAA